GAAAATATATACATACATATATATGAAAGAAGGAAACAAAAACAAACAAAAAAATCAAATATAAAAACATAAAAATTTAGTATATAGTAATGCGCTATGAGCAGAACACTTGCAAACTAAAGGCGATCAAACGTCTTATCAACAAAGTAACTATAAAGGAGCACCCTGAAACAGGGCCGATCATAGCATCGGCGTAGATCATGCGGAAGAGTATTCCATAGTCGCGGACCATCTACGTGGAACGAATTTTGATAGTAAGAGGTGCTAGCATATGGGATCACAAAATCAAATTGGGAGTGACGAAGGGAGCCACAATCTCCAAGAGGCCTAAACTGGAGTTGATTAGCAAGGTACTCATGTAGACCATTCCGCAAGATCGAGACCAAGAGGCACAACGAGAGGTACACTCGTTGCTCAGTAAAAGGCAGTATACGAAGTGCTCTGTATACAGGGGTGATGTGTCCGGAACGACCAACATCGGTGACAAATCTTAAAGCAGCATTTCTGCAACGAGACAACTTAGTAACCAAAACACCTGATAGGTCCAATGCAATGCCGGAACAGAAATCAAAATAGGGAAACACGATGGCATTAACTATATTCAGGCGAATTGAACGGGGCAAGGCGTCGCGGCATCTCCGAAGACGAGCGAGGGCAGCATAACTCTTTCGAGAGGTTTCAGTTGCAAAAGGGCCCCAAGAAAGGGTAGAGTCAAGAGTGACACCAAGCAGCTTAATTGTATCGCTGATCTGGAGCAGTTGGCCATCAAGGGTAAGGGCATGGTTAGCCTCACTGAGAATGGTGGACAAATTTTTTCTAGAGGAAAACCATGTGACCAAAGATTTGCGCCAGTTAGGAGAAAGACAATTGTCATGACCCCAACCCAAAACATGATCCAGATCATCGTTCACGACCGCAACAATACGACGGATCTGGCGAACTGGGCCGGATAATTTTAGTACAAAGTCGTCAGCGTAGAGGTGGCACGAGCAAGATATAAGAGCTGAGGGAAAATCATTGATATATAAAGAAAATAATAGCGGTCCACATAGAGTACCCTGGGGAACACCCGAACAACGATCAAGCCAACCAGAGGTCAAACCGCCCCGCATCTTAACCGCCTGTGAACGCCCAGAAAAAAAAACTTGATCCAGCCGCAAGCAGAATCGGAAAAACCAAGAGAAAGGAGCTTTATCACTAGCACATCAATGTTGAGCTCATCGAAAGCGCGCCGAAAGTCCACGGACACTAGTAACGTGACGTGACCCACATCCATGGACGCCCTAATTTCACACCAAGATTGATCAGTGCAGTATGAATACTGTGGTGCTTACGGAAACCCGACTGCTGAGGGCACAGCAGTCTGTTAGACTCCACGAAAGCTGACATCTGCCTGAGTGCCACCGCCTCGAGAAGCTTAAATAGCGCGCATGTCACGCTAATGGGCCGAAAATGATTCAACTCAGAGGGTTGTTTCACCTTAGGTAGAGGAGTCACAAGTGCTTTCTTCCAAACAGTCGGGAATATACCCAACTGAAGGGAACAATCAAATATGTTTTAAAGGATGGGCGTAATGAAAGGCATGGCGAGCTTCAACATCTGTAACGTGATCCCATCTACTCCACAGGCATTGGTCTTTGATCTACTAAAAGCCTCAAGCAAACTCAACTCATTAATATGGCCGAAAAAAAATCTATCCTCAAATGGCACATCACATAATCGGCCAGCAAAGGAACCAGTAACCAACGGAGCACCCACAAAATGTCGATTAAGGGCGTCACCATCGGAATGCGATAGCAGGTGATGCACTCGCACTCGACGATGCTCCAATATCACGAGGACATTTCCACATGTCCGCAGGATGCCTACAGGATAAAAGCCTATCTTTATTATAGGCGTAAAGCGCATTTCTGGAAAGCACCTGCACCCTGTTACGCAGACGGCGAAAAGCTACTCCATGTGTATCACGCCTGGTTCTCTTCTACAACCTCCACTCCCTATTACGCCCTCGAATGAGAGAATGAATCTCATCCATCATCCATGGGCAAGGGCGGCGTCGAGGAATAAAAGCACGGAAAGGAGCATGGATGTTAAAAGGGTTTGTAAGAGCAGTCGTAAAAAATTCAACTTTCTCGTCAACATGACACGTACGAGAAATAGAATGCCAGTCAACCGATATAAGATCATGCTAAAAATCATCCAGAACAAGGCCCCTGAATGAATGGGATAAAATGGGCTGTAATTCAAAGGCCGGAAGAGGACAACGGATCTCTAATAGTACAACATCATGCAACGTCCTCAACGTCCGACCAATAGCCACACTTAGGTGGATTATACACAATAGTGCAGAGAAACTTGAGTTGCAGTATAGATAATTCAAGTAATAAAAACTCAGGTTGGAGAGTGTAGGCATCAGTACGAGCCGAACGAGAGACATCACGAAATTTAATAGAATCATGAATGTAAGCTACAACGCCACCACCACCCCTACAGAGCCTATCATGACGAACGAGGGTATAACCCGGAATATCAAATTGGCCAAAATGTTTAGTCGGCTTAAGTCATGATTCACTGACAGCAAGAACATGCAAACCATTGTCAAGAATGATCGATCTTATTTCCTGAAAATGCGGTTCAATAGATTGCGCGTTACAATGTGCCACTTTTAGTAAATTGGAATTACGTGACATAGTTTGTCGAAGAAATTTTACGATCGATCAATCTCAACAACAGTGGGCAGGCTGCCCTATCCGAAGCAGCATGAGCGACAGATTTCAGCTTTGAATTTACACAATTTACGCAACGGTATTTCTGTTTATCAGTGACCGTGCACTCACGACCAGGATGCTCCCCACTGCAACGCTCACAAGATAACCGATTCGTGCAACTTACGGCAATGTGCCCCAATCCCCAACATTTAAAGCATTGAGGAATCGATACGTGATCCTAAACACGACAGTGGCTCCACCCAATCGTCACACAACCAAGTTCAAGTAGACGAACACGACTGACAGGAGTGACCTCCACAACGCAAGATCTATGCTTTTTGGTACCCCTGGGGTAGAGAAAAATTGCTTTAACTGCAGCATCAGATTCACCCTGCAAGTTCTGCTCACAAACACATTTTACAATTTCGTCTTTTTCGATCTCTACGGGAATATCGTGAATAATAAGACGAGGCGCAAGCTTAACATCCGGCTTTAACTCAAAACCTGCTTCAACGAGCGCAGGGCATTTTTCAATAAAAGAAGACTTCATCGCATAGCTGTTGGTTGTGTAAGTCGCTTGCCTCGATTTTTCTTGACGCATCGCTTTCGTACTGTGATGCACCGGAAATCGGCAGTTCTGGTTTCCCCGGCATGCCCCATTGCATCGATAGGGTGTCTACTCTATCCGTTCGGGCTCCGCGTGTTTCTTTGGCCCTTCTTATATTGCCCCCAATGGCTTGTTCGCCGGAAATAAGACTCACTTCTTTGTTTGCGGGTCCTATGCTTATTCCTACGTCGCGTTGTATGTAGTCGAAGTCCCTATTTGTCGGTGACAAATTTCGGATGGGCCGTTTGGTCGCTGTGAATGGCACGCCCACTTCCTCTGTCTTCTTTAGCTTTGCACTAATTTTCGAAAACAGGCCCATTACTATTGCCTTCGTTCTATCATCGAGGGTGTCTAGTTTCTCGCACCCTTCTGGTTCGAGTTCTAATTCTAACATCTGTTTCGCCATATTTTTCTTTTGATTTTTATTACTAAGGTCTTGCCTGCACGTATCGATTATCGTGTTATCTAGGCCTTCATTCTCGCTTCCTGACTCATGGGTAATGCCATCAAGATGAATCATTTTTTTTTCTACTTTTTCCCTCCTTTTTGTATGTACGTGTCGCGAAACGTATCTTCTTTTTTGATTATTACGAAGCTTATGTATTTTCCTAATTACGGGGTGATGTTTAATTACGTATAAAGCGGCTCACTAATAATAGCGGGAAAAGAATGGTAAGAGGCGACACAAGAAAACAAAGGAGCGGCGTGTGTCTTTTACTCAGTTTCTTTTCATTTTGTGCTCTCTCTTTTTTTTAGTGATTAATAGGACGAAATATTCTTCTGGGAATATCTGTAGTCTGTTTTTGTTAATAAAAATTATAGTATTGAAAATNAATCATTATACCTGTAATTGTGATTGTTGTTACTATTGTATGGCTCCGTTGGGCCATTGTCATAACCCCTGTCGTAATTATTGTAATTATTGTTATTATAGTTATCATTCCTACCCCTGTAGTTATAGGCATTACTGTCAGTAGGAGTATTATTTGCGGGCTTATTTGCTGACTTACTTCGCTGTTTTTAATTTTTTTTTTTTTTTTTTTTTTTTTTTTTTTTTTTACAACAACAAGGCTTTCATTTTTCCTCTCTAATGTCTAGAGAAATTGTACTTTTTAAGATGTTTGCGTGGTGACTGAGTTCTTAAAGCGGAGCTTCAACTCTACTTGCGTCACAGCGTGATTTTTTTCCTTTTTGCGCCAGTAGAATCTCCGCGTGTGGTCCTTATGGATGCAATTTTATTTTTTTCTTTATGTGATTGCAAGCGTCTTTAATTTTTTTTTTTTAGTTAAGCATGCATGTTGTAGATTCGTATGCCTTCTCTCCAATATCGACGATCCTGTTTAAATGAGGGTGGCCTAGTAACGTTGTCCTTTGATGGCCAAGTTTTCAGAAACACTGCCGCACACTGGGTGTGGTCGATTATTCCTCTCGATCGTCGAGCGGTGATCTGGGTGCATTATTTTTAGTCTCCCTTACATGAACGATTAAGTACTGGTCCATGTAGTTTTTGCAAAATTATGCTAACTTTGAGGTGGACAGTTTGACGAACGGGCTATTCGTTAATTTAGACATGGTAGTCAATTTTATATCCCGTTACGATTATGTGTGGCGTTTTAGGTGTTGTGGTTATCAGTATATCATGATGGTAGGAGTGGGATTGTTTCTAATGGAGAACGATAGCAGGAAGTAAGAAGAGGAGGTTTAATCTCTCATACTCAACGTGGGCTCGTGGGCCTTTTTGAATAATAGTTTTATTTTTTTCGAAATTGTTTTATTTATTTTTTTATCATTCCTCCATGCTCCTCTCTACCTAACAATGATTGCTAAAATTTTTTTTTTTTTTTTTATATGTTTTTTTAGTGCGAGTCACTACTTT